GTGTGTGTGTGTGTGTGTGTGTGTGTGTGTGTGTGTGTGTGTGTGTGTGTGTGTGTGTGTGTGTCTCTTGTACCTGTGTACCAGGAATCCTTGAGAGTGCGAAGAGTCTTCTTAGACTTTGAAGTCTATGATGCAATTTAAAATTTTGATTCTTGCTTTGAGCACATATGCAGATTTGCGATTAGGATTTGCAGATGAAGATCAACGGTTAGAATTGTATGGATGCATGCGTAGCTGTTAAGCCTGGGTTGGGACCTGATAAATAGGTTGCTATTTGTTAGCATGTGCCAGAGCTTGTCACATCCAATTTGGGCGCTTTTTTCGTTTCTCTCAATTCTGTCCTTGTTGCCTTCTGAGATCAGAAGGCAATGAGACGCGATCACATGAAATGATGAACTCCCTTTCCACATTTTTTGTGGTGGTCCACCAAGAAAGCTTTCATTTGTGTCTCGGTGAGCTGAACACAGGTGAAGATCAAGGACATGACATCCGTTTCCACATCAAGAGGTGTTGTTGATGGGATTGCACATGGGTCCGACGGTACGACAGTCGCTCCCTCCGAAGGACCGAAGCAAAAGAACTCTTTGTGAGCTTGAGGCTCTCTGTGTGTACAATTAATTTGAGGGTAGGTATTAAGACGCTGCAGATGCTCAGCAGAAGCGGAAGAGGAAACGGTTTGGTTGATGATATCTTGATGGACACGGACTCTCTTTAGCCATTTGCTTGCAACACCTTTGCAGACAGTACGTTCGCTTAATTTTGAGGGCATTTGTCACAATTTGTGACATTTTAGAGGGTAACGATGATTGCAGGTCAGGTCAGGCCAGGTCAGGTCAGGTCAGGTCAGGTCGGAGTCTCTAGGTTGGGTCAGATCACTCTCGGACATTGCAGGGTTCGGTCTGACATTGGCTATAGGTCAGATCAGACTCTGATATCGCTACCGGTAGGTAGGTTGGGTCAGATCAGACTCTGATATTGCTACCGGTAGCTAGGTTGGGTCAGATCAGACTCTGATATCGCTACCGGTAGGTAGGTCGGGTC